TAAAAAGAAATTGAAAAGTGAACATGAAAGTAAAGGGAAGTTTAAGTGAAGGAGAAAAGTTAAGGGAATTTGAGGACATGACAACGACCTGAAAAGGATTGCTATTTCCCGCCACATTTCCTTTTTTCTTCATTCCTCCATGAGAGTTCCACAGCTGAACCTGGCTATTATTTTTATGTTTTTACGTCCCTCTGCGCATTCTCTGTGGTTAGATCCTTATTTTGCTTTTGTCTAAAATAGGTACTTTCTTACACTAAACGCATTCTTGCACTTCCTTTCTCCTAATTCCACATACTTGTCTCTTTTTTTAATTTCCTTGTTAGTGCATTCGCTGTACCATCTGTATGCATCACATGTATTTAAATTCCCTCAATTTTTCTTTTCTTTTCCACTCTTTTTCCCAAATCTCTTTTTTCAACTTACGCCGGAAACTCGCGCACCAACGGTGGCTTCGGTTTCCCTTTACACAAAAAAATAAACGGTATAATTACAAAAATGAAATTTAATGAAGGCAAGAAAAAAAGGAAAATCAATCGGAAGTGCGTTGCGCGCTCCCATAAGTTTTCGGTTTCTCTTCCTTCTGGAAAAAATGGTCGGCGAAGGTAACTTGAATGGAGAACGGCGGTCCCAGGGCAAGCGGTGGGAGGCTACTGCTGAATGCTAAAACAAAGTTTTCCCTAAGCGCGGCCAGTAAATAATCGGATTCGGTAGCGGTTTCTATGAGAAATCAAATCAAATGCAGGAAAGCGAAACAATAAATGAATTTACGGGAAAGCTCAAAATTACGGTACTTACAAAACGTAGTTTGCAAAGATGTAAAAGGCAGAAAGCAAAAGATTTAAATACGGTTAAACACCAAAGCCAAAAAAGATGCAAAAGGCAAAATAAGTTACATTTCGGTTAAAGTTACGTCTCGGTTATCCACCAAATGTAAAAGACCAAAACGGCAAAAGAAAATAACTTATTGAAATATCACAAACATGAAAAATCTGAGAAACCTAAGAAATTTTGAAGAATGAAAAGAAAATCAGCAAAAAAATTGAATAATTCGAACAATTTCAAAAGCTTTAGACGTGTAAAGGACAGAATTTGAAGTCTTCAAGGATTTAAGAAATCAGAAGGATCTAAACGTCCTGACGAATCGAGGGTACAAAAAAAAATAAAAAAAACTTGAAGAAAAAGAAGAAGAATTCTGGGAAGTGATTTAATGAAGGAATCATTTTAGATTGCCTTAGAATCAGCATATTTAATTTAATGTCATGCTGAAATACCATTTGGTTAATCCCTTAATTAAAGGGTGTGTCACGACGTGATTAATTATAGCAAAGTTAATTACCTACACTTTTACATTCTCGCCAAGGCGTACCAAAACATTTTTTGTGTACTTGAATAATTAAAGAAAACCTTGTCAAGTACAATTTTAATCTTCAACTATTTTCCTTTGTCCTTGTTTTACAACCCAAAGCCCTCATTGCAATAGTGTTCCCTTTCCAATCGGGTATGTCTTATAGTCGATGGTATCTACGTCTCGGGGCTAATGGATTGGATGCAAATCAGAGACAATGGGCTGAAGGACATATACCAACCACGATATCTGAAATTCCACTTTAATACAAAATGTCGGAGAAATACGAGAAGTATATTCAAATATGGAAACCGTTAAATTAAATTATATATAATCCTCACGACATGGAAAGCTTCAAAGAATGACTTGTATAACAAATATGATTAATTTGACGTTGTAAAAGGTAGACATATTATTATATTTTCATAAAGGCGGCTCATTAATAAAGGTGGCACGTTAAAATTAGAGTTGGGAGGGATGGTTTGCGTAAATTTAATAATAAAAGTCTGCCCTCATGTATGGAACACAACAATTTCTGTTTTGCACAATAATGGTTTATGTATGAAAATGTCTTTCAAAGAATACGTTTCTCAAACGGAAGGCCCTCAGTCGCTCCCTTGGGCACGCAGTACAGACCGTACTTCGATGTAAGGTAGGTTTGTTCACGTCATTTTTGTTAAATTGGACTGTTATATTCAATTTATTGTTGGTTTTCTCAAATTACTTTTTTAGATTATTAATAATTTATTATCAATCTTTCGAGCCATTGTCATTGTTGGCGCATATATATGTGTCTATAATCTAAATCTCTTTATTTTCGAAACTAGAACACACAGATGTAACTAATAGTTTTTTGCCTCTGGTCCTTCTGAGTCAGTGCAAATTCCTACCCCAGATGGCGACGGGAGTGTAAAACAAATTCCGAAGAACGAAAAATTCAAAGACCTGAAACGTTGTCTGAATTGCGTAGGTAAGCGCCATTTTCTCTCGCACTGCTCATCAAGGCAAACGTGTCAATTGTGCAGTTCGCCCCTCCCCCAATATCCGCGTTCTTAAAAAATCTCTCTATGAAGCAGCTGGTCCCCTCAATATGAAGGCCCTCGGAATGTAGTTGTTGATGTCTGAAAATTAAAAAAAAAATGTATCTGAATACACTCTTATACTTGGATGCAAATTAAAATAAGTTACTACAGAGGGTAACGTAATGATAATGGAAGGTTAAACCAAAATGCTCAACGTAAATGAAAAATGAATACAATTCTAGAGAAATGCGAATAAGCACTAAATTCGTTAATGGAATTTTTCAAGGGATAAATCAAAATAATGTGCACTTCCAAGCAGAAAATTTCTTGTAATGTTTTCAAAGTGTTTGTTGATTAGCTTAATTCTTCATAAACTGAATTTCCAACAAAACTGGCAGAAATAATGTTTAGAATGTATGTCAGCGGTACCCTTCAAGACATTTGCATCCCATTTTGTGTTTCATTAGCAAACGTCAAGGAATTTTGCACAACAAAAGACTGGGATTTCAGTTGGTTTTGAGAATGCAAATATTGAAATACCGAATGTATTTGATTTATTACACCTATTTAAGACATCTCACCCTGTAAAGTGTCCGCAAAACATTGCTTTTTCGTTTCGTTTCATGTCCGCGAAAGGAAATGTCAAACGCAAAGGCGCCCGGTTTAATTATTAATTTATTAAGGGGATAAAAAACACTGTATTATGGGATTTTTGTTTGCGCGACGTGAAAAGAAAGGAGTCGTCACATAAAAATAAATCACCGAAGTTGTTTTTGTGTTTCGTCATTCGGCATTTTGAAGCGGTTTTCTTTAGCGAACTTTTCAAAAGATCAAAATCATTTTGGCGCTCCCGAATATTTATATAATGTATCTTTTGTGTATCCAGAGATGAATATTTTTATTTCTTTGCCAGATCGGGTTACGGATGGCGCCGTCGCGTCCTACACGAAATCGTCGTCAAGGTAACGACGCTTGCTACCACTTTAACTGATTGCTTACATATAAGACGTCCGTTTAGTTAGTTTGTAATGCCATTTTCTGTTGTGAGTTTTGGTAAACGCAGCGTTGAGTACATGATTCATGATATATTAGGAATGAAAGACGGTGCTAATTATCAAATAATTATTCCTCTAAATATCGGATTTACCATAATTAGCATTACTGCGAAGTGAATCTAGAGTCGAACCAACAATTCTTATCATAAGAAGTCCAGAATTTATTCTTGTTCTTTTTTTTACTTTTAGTACGTTTTTTAAAAAGAACTTAGGATTGAATAGAGAGTAAGATATCGCAAAGTTGACTTCCCTATTCAACTTAAGTACTTGTAGATAAAACCATTTTCCCTAAATCATTATGCAAAGCTTCGTTGTAAGAATGGAGTGGTGAACATTCCATCGACTTTTATGGGAACTTTCGTGAATGAACTTCTGGAGTATTCGCCTCAGACAATTTCCCTCTCCCTCTCCCTCTCCCTCTCCCTCTCCCTCTCCCTCTCCCTCTCCCTCTCCCTCTTCCCTCTCTCCTCTCTCCCTCTCCCTCTCCCTCTCCCTCTCCCTCCCTCTCCTCTCCCTCTCCCTCTCCCTCTCCCTCTCCCTTCCCTCTCCCTCTCCCTCTCCCTCTCCCTCTCCCTCTCCCTCTCCCTCTCCCTCCCCCTCTCCCTCTTCCTCGACAAAATTGACAGCTCCTATGAATTTCGTCGGGAAAACCGCCCCTAGAATATTTGCCCTTAAGGGAACGTGCCTATGGCAAATTCGCCTCTAAAGAAAACTTACAAGCATTTTTCATTCATTTGGATTACATTTAGTCATAATTGCTTGTCACATAATTAGAATACAGCATTCCATAGGGACATAATCTAGCGGCCAATGTTTCAGGGGCGAACCGAAACTCTGACCTCGTTAAGGACGCGTTTTCATTGGCCGTGACGTGTCTCTAATTTTCAAAAATATTTTGTACAAAAAATTCGATCATGCTTTTGCTCAGGCGAAATCAGGTCAACTGAATAGGAAAGAATTTCTCACTTGTTAAAGTCACCATATGCTGACGATGTCACGCTTATAGCGAGATTCTTAAAGTTATATGGCAGAAGATGATTAAATCGACCATAGACAATGTACTGCGAGTAAACCAACACGAAAGGCACGTATATAGCACAATTAGACAAAAGCAATGTATGTGTCTGAGGGGTAGAATTATTAGATTATGACGAATGTAACAGGATCCTTTGAATGGGGCTCATATTTTGAATTTTCAATATTAAGGAGAATACAGGGTGTTCCTGTTAGCTGGTTTGCGTGTACGTGGGGGCCGTTTAATGGGATAGGGAAGTTGACGGCGTCAGTTTGTCGATCAAAATTACGGCGAACGGGTGCACATTTGATTCGTATGGCTGGATGGATCCAATTAGTTAATGATTAAAGTTGGCCGCGTTAACTACTCAGCGTCATTTTGTTAGTGAAAACGAGTGGGGACGGATCCAGAGAGGAGAGTACTAAGCTGCTTGGTTTTGGGACACCAATGCGTTATACTGCAAAACTGATTGCACAAATTCCTGTCGAAATGCTGTTTTCACGAAGAGAAATGATGTGCAATATTGGTTTCGCCATTTTCCTTAAATTGCAAAATAAAAGAAGTACAAAAATATATTTATTGATGCATAATTACTAGCAAAATTATAAACATATATTGTAGTGTGCAGTAGCAAACGATCTCAAAGCCACCCACAAAACAGGAATATCAAATTTAACTTGACAGGGCAGCAACCCTGGTTGTAAAATTTCGGGTTCGATTAGACACAGAATTGTTCATTGACAAATAAAATTATATTTATTCGAGATTCACACAAATTGACAAAGCTGAAGAAGAGAGAGGCTCTTGGGCCTGTTTTTTACACATACCACGCACGCAGTCGTTCGACAGACAATTAAATAAAGGAATCTTAATTACAAATGCTTCGCGTGGAATATAATGGTAATGAATCACCATTTTACATACTTCTACGTTTTTACAAAAATCGTCGTTTTTTACTAGGTTTGATGTTTGATGTCGTTTGCTATTTACGGAAGAGCTATGGTATGCAAAAAAATGTGAGCCATTTTCGTTGTGACAGATCGACATAGCTCGCCATAGCAAGAGCTCGCTTTCGTCTCATTCGGCATTAGTATATACTTCGCATTTTGTAACGGGAGCCGTATACCGACCCCTAAATGTGGACGAGCGGTTGATTTGTTCCGATCTTCTCTGCACCTCGCTCGGCATTGGTAGGATACGTTTGGTGCCTGAAACCGTCCAACACGCTCCATAATTTCGGACGGGCGGTCGGTTTATGTTGACCTCGCCTTCGGCTCGCTCGGCATTGGTATGAACTCTGTGTTTTATGACAGGAACCCTATAACACGGTCCAAAATTTCGGGAGAGCGGTTGGTTTATGTCGGTCTCGCCTTCGGCTCGCTCGGCATTGGTATGAATGTGCAAAAGGAAAAAAGATCCAAATACGGTGCGGTAAACTTAATCTAGAAGCAGAATTTAAACGGAATTTACGGAAAAGCTCAAAATTACGGTACTTACAAAACGTATTACGGCAAGTAAAAATAGCAAAAGATAAGCTTGCTATTCGGTTACACGTAAAAATCAAAAGATTCCCTCTAAATCAAACGTTTACCTTATAAAATTGGACTGTGCCATAGCAGGATCGGCGGTTTTCCCCAGCTCGACGGCTTACCTTGCGAAAAACTTCTTTAATTAATTACGTCTTTCCCAGGCGGCTTAAAAATACGGGATCGGTGTCAAAATTCAAGTTAATTAAGAGCGCTGTTTTTGAGATTAGGGCCAGCTCAATCGGACAGGTCTACAACTCATTTAAATCTCAATCGTTAATTGTGCTTACTTAATTTGCCGTATTCAAATTTCCAGAATTCGTATCCAATTAATACCCGTTGTTATTGGAATGTCGGCATCAACCGGCGTGGTCGGCTCATGGCCTTGCAGTTCCAATGCTCGTTTTAAGAAATAAAACCTTCTAATGTCTGAATCATGGCTGAAATTCTAAAATTTTAATTTGCCCTCTTCTTCCGAATGACCAGTGCGGACGCAACAAATCCCGTCGAAATATCTGGACGAGCACGGTTGCGGATTAATTGCAGCGTTAATTACGGTAGCGGTGGCTGAAACACAACTCTAGAAATGAAATGAATTTACCCTTAGCTTTCTTACTTACCTTCATTTTTCCTACACAAAATACCTACAAATAAGTGACCACCTATTAGTTCGAGTAAGGATTCTAAATGGCGATTTTGTTACCGACGTCACGTTGCATTAGTCTTACGTAACGTTGGGCACGTTTTAGACAATTTTCCACTATATCCCACCTTTTACAACATTAAGAAGATAACTTCCTCAATTCCCATTTTTTTCCCAGCCACCTGTCTTATATTTTATAAGGCTATAATGGAACTATAAATTGCGACCACGGAATTAGGAAAAATGTTTTCGCAGCACACATTAATAACTTTTCTCACGCCTTGCCGGGAACGAGGTTGAAAGTCCACCGTTGTCATGAAATTAGAGAAACTTGAGAATGTGTGCGGGATATTAGGGAAGTCTGCCGCCGTAAGCCACACTTCGTAATAAATTCACCTTGAGCGCACTTGAAATGAGTTTTAAATTTAGTGCGGGATAGAAGTTGGTAACGTCTTGACATTGTAATGAAAACGCAACAAACTATTCAAAATCACCCTCCCAAACGCGAGTTTGCAATTGACTGCATGTGGATACAGCCAACGATCTTATCCAATTCCATACAGAAAACGATTTTGCATTTAAGCGATATTAAGGAAAAGTTATTTGCTGTACACCTTGATTTACGAGGGGGTGGCGACGTAGCTAGCAGATTTAAAACCCAAAACGACATTCCAACACACCGAGTTCTTTTAATTTAAATAAGCAACGGCGGTGTGTAATTCTGAACAATAAAGGGAGGGAATTGAAAGGAATGCTTGAATATTTTCGATTAAAACACCTGATAAACACGCGAGCTGTGAGGTACAAATTTATTCCGAACCAAAGGGGAGGTTTCTCAGGAAAGGGATAATAAAAGCTGCACTTATCACGAATTTGAGGCTGACAATCCCTTCTTTAAACTTTAAAATGGGTTTATTTTTCTGAACCACAGGTCGTGACCGGTTCAATTTTAGATCTTGCCTCTTGGACGTTTCAATATAAAGCAGGAGATTCATTTTTTCATTTTTTGATATGCAGGCAAAAAAAGTTCAATTGAATCTGATGCATTTCAAGATTTTTCGCAAAAGCATAGATAGAGCGCCCAATTTGCATTCACCTTCGGCCATATGTGCCACTTGCGCTACTAAATTAATTATTCGCGCGGTTCTGAATGTGTACAATTAACAATATGACAGTTTCCCATCCTGCATGTTGACGTTAGTGTTATGCCTCGATGAGAATACAATTACGCTAGCGAATTAAGTTCCGAGAATCCTATCGATTTATTAAACTGGTACATCTAATTTCCGATCTAAAAGCACCCATTCTGATCTGAGCGCAACGGGCAATTTTCACTTGTCCATATTCACTATGTAATGATAGACTCAATTAACGAACAATGAATCAGCTCATAAAATTTTGCTTTTACATATTTTTTCATATAATGCCTTTCACAAATTTGAAAAAAATTAGGTTTGTTTTTAAGGGATAATGTACGAAATTTTTGAATGATCAAATTATGGTTGTTTATAGCCACTAGATGGCGCTTTTGCATCGCGCCATAAATTTTGGACTGTTTGCGCAAAAAATTAAATGGTTCGATATATTTATTTTTGCATAGAATTTGCATCTATGTATCAAATACCGATAAATATCCATTACTTCCATTACTCAGATCATCAGTTAAATAATAGTTCGTTTACCACACGTATCGAAATCAAATTGGAACTCTGACGTTAATTGGTTTTATTTATTTTATTTTATTAATTTATTTGATTAAAAAACTTGTTTATTTTGTCCTTGCCACCTTGATTTTTCTGACACCATTTTTGATAATACTAAACTTTTTTTCATTCAGGAGATATTTAATATTTTGGTATTCGGTGATTTTTTAAAAATAATCTTTAATCTGCGGAAACTGCAAAACTGCTCTTTTAACCTAATCCCTAGTCTCAGTAATAGCCTACGCAATCCCATTTGATGTGGGCCACCCTGTATACTTTTATGCATTTTTTAATACATTTAGTTTTCGTCTGCAGCCTTCTAATAACCCTTCACGCCTCTAATAAGCTTTTAAAAGCCTCTGGAAGTTCTTAAAATGTCCCAATATTGAATAACCTTTAAAACCACTTACAAGCGTTATTACAATGCATTCAAGAGAGACCAACAGTAATTGAACAATCCTCTTTTAACATTTTTTAAAACCTTTAAACCACTTCAGTATCTTTGAGTCTCTAAAGAAGTTGCAAAGGTCTTCTAGACGCTTTGATAACATTTAATTTGCCTAAGGACTCAGAGCTCTTTCAGATATTATTTCCGATTTTTAAGGATCCTTAAAGATGGTGGATGGAAAAAGCATTTAGTTTTTAACCTGTAAAATCTCTTATGGATCTATACTGAGTTTTAAGACACGATAAGCATCGGTTACGGTTTCCAAGAGCATTTAATAGCTTCAAAGATCGTGAAAGGCCCTTCAAGAGATTAAACCGCATTCAAAACGGAACTTTTAACAGACATGCATTGAATAGCCTTTAAAAGTATTAGAAGCCTTTACAAGTTTCTACTGACCTTTAAAGGCCTTTAAGCGTCGCAAAACTTTTACAGACTTTAAAGATATATTCTTTGTAATCTTTGTAATAGTCTTTAAGAGCTTTAGCAGCCTCCTTATTCATCTTTAAGGGTCAATAGCAATTTTCCAAGTTTTCCAACAGGCCTTTAAAACCTCTAATAGACATTTAGTCTTTACTTTAAGACCTATTTTTAAAATATCATAATATTTTCTCAAACATTTTTCGCTTTAATTCCCTCTTTCTTAGTAAAGTAGTAAAGAATCTGAAAAATCTGAAGAATTTGAAGCATTGCGGAAATGTGAAGAACCTGAAGTTTCTAAAGATTTTAAAAAATCTGCAGAATTTGAAGAATTGAGAATCGGAAGAAAATGAACATAACATGGATACTGCCAATGAATCTGAAGAATCTGACGAGTCTGAAGAGCCTCAAGAGTCTGAAGAGTTTGAAGAGTCTGCAGAGTCTGAAGCGTCTGAAGAGTTTGAAGAGTCTGAAGAGTCGTCGGAAGAGTTTGAAGAGTTTGAAACTATCAAAACTATCGAAGTCCTCGTGTGGGATCGAAGCGATTGACTCCACCATCAATAAAATCTTGTCGATATATTCCCTTTATCGGTATCCACTTCGGACGTCCCGTTCACCTGCAATTCGCGTTTGAAGTTTGAAGTCACTAAAATCTTGACCGGGCCTACCACATTCTCTTCGTGGATTTCGCTAAAAACCGTCCACAAAATTGTACTCAATTTTTGGGGTACTTCTGATAGCTCGAGCTTCTATTGGCGACACGAGAAAGAGAGATCACGATTCGAACTTTAAGAAGCGAAGACGCGCCCCTTGCAAAAGGTGGTTAATTTCGCCTTTAGTAAAAAGAACAAAAAAGATTTTTCCGACGATACCAATTTGAAAACAATCGAACCAAAACTGTAGAAGAAGATGGAAAAAAAAGTGAAAAATCACCACCATGCAGCCGAAGAGAGCTCTCTCCCCACGTCGCATCTATCACCTAAAGAAACAAATCAAGAAAGAAGGAAAGCCGCGCATCTAACCGGTGTGTCTCATTGATTAAAGATTGGGTGCTTGAGGGGCCAACTATGATTTGTACTTGGATTCTACATTTCAGTATCGAATACGATAACTTGAACACCACCTTATAAGGAAGACAGTGTACACCAACCCTTCCCCTGGCTCGGTTTAGCCCAGCTGTTCGATTTTTTATCCAGTCTCCCAAGTGTCGATCTGGGCGGGGCAATCCCGAATGACTTAACAAGATGGCCATTATCTCCCTGATAAGAGCGAACCAGGTACTGCACCTAATTAAGTTGGCTTTACATCCTTGATCTGAGCTGGTATTTATTGTTCAACGAGCGGTGCCCGTAAACCCTCTAAAATTACCACATCTGTAAATCCCAAACGCACCTACCTCTAATTAAACGAGAGGGCGTAGAAACCAAATAATAACGAGTAAAGATGACGAAATAATTAATTTACGTCTTCCCAACAGTCACATATTGTTTGTCTAAAAAAAGGCAACATTAGGTTCACTTATGTGTCGATAATTTAAATATCCTCCAAGAAAAGTGGAGATAAGTGCTTCAGCTTGCTCCACTGCCGCAGTTAACTGAGCACAACGAAAAGGGCCCTTTTCTCTTTAATGATTTGTTGTACTTCTTGATCCCTGGTTTAGGTATATCTCTACGCCCTGGAGTGCATTCTGGGAAGCCGTTGCTGCTGACCGATGTCAAAGTGTTGAGGTGCAATGTCGGTTGATGTGGTGGCCTTTGCGTCGACCACCATAGTTTCAAGTGCACCATAATCGACCATAATAAATATTGATATGAGATACACTTGTTTCTTTTTAAAGCGGGGTGCGAGTGGGGGGGGGTGGCATAAAAGCACAGTGCAAAATTGGTTCTCACAAACCCGCCCTCAACGTTTATCGTGATAAATGCAACATGTGATAGGAACTATTAACCTTTGTGTTACTTTAACAACCTATCTAAAGATGATAGCGTAAGCGTATAAACCTCAAGGGTACAATTTGTCGAGTTCAGAGTAACACTCACTCAAGGGATTAAAAGGAAAGTTTCGTATATTTACTAATAGCTTTTCAGAAATGCATCGCGAAGTGTAATTTCGCATTATGCTCTCTTATAATTAGAGTTTGGAGTACGCCTGTACTGTGTAATTATATAGTTTGGTCTTCGCACTAACATTAGCAAAAGACATGTTCAGTTCATACTTCCAATTTTATGAATGTTTGTAATTATAAGCTCTAATTGTACTTGGGAGCTTGTGAAAGGTAAGCCGGTTGGATTTTTGCTAAAAGAGTACTTTAGGCGCCCTGTAAATCACACGGAAGAGAGCGCTTTAATTCCAACTGATAAATCTCTGTGTAAATTAAATTGCGAAAAATGAATTGCTGCCGATAAAAACCTAAAAGAAAGTTCGTACCG